CTTGCCGATGTAGCAATAGTGACCTTAACTTTGTCAGTGTGTTTAAGAATGCCCTTGCCCCTTGCGGTGGGCAATGCGTGGGATGTTTCCGTCATATTTCCACTTCAAATTTTCTGTCCATTCAACATCTTTATAAAAATCTCGGTGTATTTTGGTCATCTACGCAAATTTTGCATTGACTTCCCTCTCCCCTCTCCCCTCCGTCAGCAAGTATTCATTGAAAACCCTATGATTGGAGAACGGTAGCAAATCGCAAAAAATTTCAGCCTTGGCCCAATTTTTGTGGGCCTAGGCTGTTTACTAAAAGGGCTCAAAACACTTGGTGGATCTCTGTCTCTTGTTTCTGTCATGTGTCATCTTTGAACTTTAACAGAAGTACTCAACTTCCATATATACCCCGTGCAGTGCAGCCTCTCTAGAGTCTCAAGTAGTGGGAATGTGGGATATTAAACTACACGTGATTCTTCTTGATGTCATGGTTTTCACTTTTCGGGGTTGTTCTAGCTACCATTGAATATTGATCGAATTACTAGTTGGTACTTTAAATGTCGTCAGCAGAACAGAGTGAAGCACACGGCTGCAAGCAAGGCGACTTGAACTCCATTGTATCACTCTCCAGTAGTTGTGGTTCTGGTATTGGCACATCTAAGTAGGTAGAGATCCTGCTTTTCTTTTTAGCATGATTGATTTCCTTTACAATCCTCCTGTGTATTGCATATATATATTTATATAAGATGTTAATTTTGCTGTTTCTATTGTTGTGATGCTGGAAATTTTTTTACCCTGTTCATTTTTCCATTACATATATTGATTTAGATGTATGAGATTGAGAAAAATCATGACATTTTTTATTTTTTATTTAGAGTAATATATCCATTTTGATTGATGAGGAGGACAAAAAAAAGTTGTGAAAGAGTATGAATCAGAATTAGTAAGGAGAAAATTGCCCGAGATTATGTCATAGCTGCTGCAAAAGTCCAATCCAATTCCTCTAGAAGTGTTCATTTTAGAACATCCCCCATGTTTCTTTCAAAAAATTTCATCACTGCCTTCAGATTCTCCATCTTCTCCAACATAATAGCCATATTAGTCAAACCAAACATTAGAACTGAATTGTATATACAAAAACTTACCAATATATCAAGGACAGCGATTTACAAAGGAAGAAGTCAAATCTAGACATAATTTTGCCTGCAAATTGGACAGAGAAAAAAAAAAAAACTCTTGCTGAGCAACTCAACTGCATTTGCTAATCCCACAGAAACTTGAAACTTTGATAGGCAAAGATGGTCATGTACAGCAGTAAACTTACATGTCAGTTCTTGTTAGCATCTGACAGCTACGGACCCAGAAATCATGCCAATTTTTGCGAGAACCAACAATTCAAGGAGATAACAAAATCACTTGCCAGTTCTTCAAGACTAAATTTAAAGCAGGAAAAGCTCCCTGCATTCAAATTTTCTGAAAGAAAGTAGTTGAGAGCTACTCTAGTGCTTTGAAGCCAAAGAATTCAAATAAAATAGGGGAAGGACCTTATTCTGAAATAAAGAGCTCAGAAAAGACAATTTGGCAATATATACAAAGTGCATTAAAATTTTCGGACAAACACAAGGTGCAAACTCTTACCTTAATTAATTTCCACAAGTCCCTTGATTCCATCAAGTCTGAATTTGTTAGGAGAAATATTGGGAAACTTCATACAAAAGTAAGGTCTTTTGCTGACTGCATAAATAATTCAAGTGATACAATAATTTTTTTTTTTATTGAAAAACTATGAGAGTTGATACAACAATTAATATTTATTATTTAACCTATTGAAATCAATTTACAAACAAATATTTTTAAACACCATAATTATTATTTAAAAAAAAAAACTATATATGTTTTTTTAAAATATAAAATTGTGTAACTTTAATAAAAATGTGTGACAACAACTACCACCATCAAATATATACAAACAGACCGTACAACCAATGATCATAAATTTACATTGAGTGATCAACAGAACCTTCAAAGTGTTATGCTGTTTGAGAGCTCGTTATTAGGGACATTTCTCCTTGCAAAGTATGTCTAGCCAATCATAAGACTTGCTATCTTTTCTGGAGATAAAATGAGGAAAATCAAAGGCGAAGATGACTGCACAAAGGGACTTGATTTGCACAGAAGTAGTTTTGATTTCCGATGGAAACACTTAATGGCTCTTTCTTAGTAGCCCCCACCACTATTTTGTTGGTGCAAACTAGCTCAACATGTTATTGTCTTCTTCTTCGGGAACTTTCAGAGTTCATGGATCTCAGCCATATGACAACCGGATGAAGCAAGTCCGAGCAAATAATGGAAGAAAAAAAGGAAGTGCAAATTCAAGACAGATACTCCTTTGTTGCATTTGGTCAGAATGACTGTTAATCACGATGTGGGTCTCACGTGAACAATCACCGAAAAAAATTGAGCCTTCATTCGGCCTCTTTTCTAGTCCGTCAACCAATCATGATTTGGGAAATAAATCCCGATGAGACCCATCGTTCTCTAGATGTCCCATCATTTGCTAAACAGTTCAACATCTGAGAAGGAAAGAGGTGCACGCACAGTTGGGACCAGATAAAAAGGAAAAATGGCATGGTGCATCAAATAAGTAAACACTCACTAGAACAGTTCAATGGATTTGTTGTGGTTCATGCCAACCAAGCCTTTAGCCCATGATATAGCACATTTAGCTTCTGATGATATTTCTACTGTTAACTGGGTACGTCTTCACCGCCTTCAATTTGTGTACCCTGAAGTTTCTTTAATGGAAATTCATGAAGTGAAATTTATGGATTGAGTGCAAAATAAAACCATTGCTTCCATGTCATACCATCTTCATCCCAACATGGAAGGAGTTTTTTTCTGCAGCCAACCCATAGAACACTGACGAAATTAGAAATGCTTTGTACCAGAAAACTATCTGATCTCAGATATACATGTAAATATTTTCATACTCAGATATACATGTATCTTTGAGAGGGTGGCGAAGGACCGAATTTAAATCATGATGTCACAATGAGTGTGCAAAGAATCACAAGCCAAAGAGTCAAAGGCATACATTTGTTCAATGGTCTACGAAGCAGTAAGATCCAATCTATAGAACTTACAACTGGTACATGGGACTTCTTAACCAAAGAAATAAAGATTCAGCAACCATAGCAAAAGAGCACCATTTGAACACAATCTTGACACTTGACCCTGTTTGACATATTAAAGTAAAATATAAGAGACAGAAACAACATTTAAGGGACAGTGAAACCTGGAACCTGGAAAATATAAACTCATGTTATGAACACCAAGCAACCCCAACAATTTAATACAGACGAGTTTACTGTTCACAGATTCAAGAATAAGTACATCAAAGATCTTGAATTTTGACCTAAATATTAACAAAGTAATCATTGCAACCAGCAGTGTCTCTTTTACTTGAAGAGCCATTTCTTTTGTAATGACAATTTCCCTTCCAACATTTCCATTTATGTATGATGTAAAAATTGTCCAAAGGCATAATAACAATGTAAGCGAACAGAATAAAAGAGAACACATACTGTGGTGCAAATCTACCACGCAAATGCTGGCAACACATATGTTGGATGTACATCCTTCTTGGCTGCAAGGGCCTGTACAGAAGATAAATCTGCAACTTGCCCAAAACTACGTACTGAGTCCAAGCTCAGTTGCATGGATCCCGCCAGTGATAAATGCCAAAGCGATTCCACCCTCATTTGCACCCTTAATATCATGATGAAAGGAATAACCCACAGCTATAGAATCAGAAGCATCCACACCAACCATTGCCATAGCTGACTTGTATATTATCTGAAGAAAGTTTAAAAAGGAGTAAATATAACATTTGAAATCCATTTCACTTTAACCCCAAACGTGTGATGTAAAGATAAACTGCAACGTTAGAAGGGAAGGAATATATTGCAAGGAAATAAGAAACAGATCATATTACCTTATCAGGCTTCCCCATTCATTTCACTTCACCCCCAAGCTTTTCATATTTGACAGCCCATGTACCTAAAACACAGAGACTAGCACTAAACCATTAAACCAAGGAGCCATAAAGGGGATAGCTATAATTGAAGGCTGATTCTCACAAAGAAAAGTAGAACCCACAAAAAGGTACTTTGACACATGAACAGAAAGAAACTCCTGTACTGCTACCACAGAAAATGCTTAGGAGAGTTATAGTTCAAAGTTGCCAGCCTAGATGGTGTGTTTCCCTCTATGTAAGGCATTCTAATCAAGAAGAATCAAACAAGTTAGCTTCTTCAACATTCTCCACAACTTTTAAGCTTAAACACTATGAAAAGAGATTTTATCATGTTAACTACTAAGCATCACAGCTCCCATCAAAATGGTTAAGTTGTAAACTTTGCAGGCAATCTAGAAGTAAAAGAGAAGGTAAAGCACCGCTAGTGCAAAAAATAATGCATTTGCTTATGGCCAACCCAATCACTACATTTTTGTTGGATTTCAATAAAGCAGCTAACAAGGGAAGAGATAGAATGTAAAGTAACTTCTAAGGGCCAGCTTTGTCCAAATGGCATTAGTTTATAAGAATTGGACTTCATACTCAATAAATGATTCACACTTCACAGCTAAATAAGATGAATATGAAAATGTTATGCATGCTTATATGTCTGCATTGTATTAGTGAACATATGCCGTATCATACCCTTTATTTGCAGGAATTAGTATGTCAATGTATTGTTACCTACCCAATCCATATCTACATCACACAGTAGCAGTGTGACACCCTGGAAGATTTTTTGAATTTAAACAAAACATTACAAATTCAAGAAGCAAGAGTGTAAACATCCTAAATGCCTAATAACCTCACTACAAGCATCTTTTTCCAGAGGAAGAATCATTTTGCATCTTATGTCCCATAATTTCTGGTCTCAGAGTTATAAAATACTAAGTTAATCCCTCACATTCACCACCTTATTAGCAGCAACCCTTAGTCTTTTCATTACTAAATTGCTAATATCCATAAAAGAAGAAAAAGAAGAGTTTGGACACAGGGTATTTAACATTTTGAAAACTCTATATCTTACATAAAATTATAAAGAAATGATCATAAAACAAGCTAACAGTAGCATACCTCAAGAGATATAAGGTTATATGAATGCAACACCTTCCTAGTGCTGCAAACCAAGGATCATCTTTCCTACAAATAGAAACCAGGAAAAACTCCTTGTGATGTATGGCTACAAAAGTTCAAAGAAAGGCAATATGCAAAATCATATTTACAAAAGGATGTTTCATAAATAAGAAAAAGAAATGCTGAGAATGAAAAAGAATAAATTGTTTCAATTGTTGCCTCTTAGGGTCGCAAAAAACTATTTTGAATAGATAAATGATTTTTCTTTCTTTCTTTTTTCTTTTAGGAACATAATTGAATTAATAAATGGCTCTTTCTAAAATATGAACATTACATGGAGTAGTCTCAGATCAACAACTGAATATACAAAATTTGCTAGCCCAAAAATTGGGTCTAATTATATAATGGCTATTGAAATAACAATTATTTTTCCTGACCAGTGATACAAATAATGAAACAACCTAACAAGTTCATCACAGAAAGACTATCCAGCATCAAAAACAAATGGAGAAGGTAACATTTCCTCAGCACATAACCATAACAGGCAAATTGGTAAACCTTTGCATGTATTGATGCATTAATTCTCCACTGTTGATGGCTCCTTCAAAGAGAGAGAGATCAAATCCAAGGCTCTTCATTTTGTTCATTGTTGTCGATGCACGTCTTGAGAAATTACTTATAATCACCATCTTGGCACCATTGGTTGCCAATTTTTCTACTGTCAAGCCAAGAAAAAAATATTTCTCTTAAGAATAAAAATCATTAGCATATCACCATCCAAAAAAGCAAACACTTCTTTCTGTTGAAGGGCTTACCAAAATGGTAAAACTCACAGATGGGAACATACATGTTGAAATTGCACCACGATAAGGTTGTTTGCCATCATGAAGGACTCCAAATTGATCTAAGAACCAGGACTACGGAAATAACAGAACAACCAACTAAATGAATGCCAATAAATGAAAATGCACATACTAAAAACCATAATATGAGGCATGATACAGAAACATAAATTCACTAAACAATAACCTACATTATGAGAAAGAAAGTCCAAGATTTTTGTTTAATGGGGGCAATCCTATAAATAAAGTAAAATTTTTTGCAAGAGAAAAGCAAGATTTTGCTTAAATATTAGGCATTTCTTTAGGCATTTCCTTTTTGGCACGTTCCAGTAGGGATAGTTAGCCCTCATTCGATCCGTCCCTTGGAGTGAATTTTGTACTTCGAGTAAAATTTTCAATTCCATTGATAAAAGGCCTTTCTTTAGTGCGATGGCAAAAGATCAAAATTTCACCAGCTAAAAAAAATTTAAGTTCCTGTATCCAGCTTTCTGGTTCAGGCAAAATTATTTGTCTCAAAATTGAACATTTCAATAGTCAACAAAAAAATTCAATAGACAAATAATTGGGAAGAAATAAGAAGCCAGAATATAGATTTGAGAAATAACAATTGGGGGAAGGTACGTAGGCACCTTGAAACGACGGATTTCCGCCAGTTGTCGAAGACCAGTGAGGATTCGGAAGAGCTGGACTTCGCCGGGAGGGACTGAGACGCATTTCGCCATCGTTTTCTGCCCTTTTCCCTCCTTCTGCTTCACCCTTTATATGAAAATGTATTTCCCATTGTAGGTTCCTATTTGTCGTTCTTCGATATTTTGCACAACCAACTTTCAATGGCAACCAACTAATTAAAAATAAATATTGGAAATGGCTATAACCTTATTTTCAAAAAATCTGAAAATAAAATACAATAGATAGAAAGAGGATTTTTTTGGTTAGTAAACACAGAAATAGTTAAATTTTTTTTTTAAAAAAAAATTTGGGCCAGGAAATAGTTAAAATGTTGCCCTTAAGACAGAAATATATTATATTCATATCCATAAAAGGGAGAAAAAAAAATTATATTTATGTTAATAATTACTTTTGAAATTAAGAGAAGAAATCACAGTTTAATAAGTAGTGGCATACATTTGAGTTTATTTCACTAATCTACTCTCATATAGTGATTTATCCATGATTTTTTAGTAGTGTCAAATATGACAATCTGGATCAAAAAACTTGGTGTCAAGAGAGAAACAAAAAAATAAGATCTCGTCGGAGTTGAGAGAAACAGAAATTTACATAGCAAATCTACTTGATTGATGATATGTTGAGGAACATTGATTCATGAAGAAATTTGAAGATATGCTCTTAAAATCGCCCAAACATGCTCCGGTAAGAGTAAAATGTACTACTGTTCCTTACAATCACAATCTTAATTATTGCTAAAAAGGTCCTAATTGAGCCAAGCCTACAAAATTAAAAGACGTTCACACAACGATCTTGAACTTTATACATGGTGAGTGTGACTCAATCATGCTTGAGATAGTAGGCACTGAAAAGAAGAATCACAGCCTAAATTTTGAATTGGGAATCACCATCACAATCTTCATCTCCTCCTCCTAACACTCTGTCTAGATTCACGCAAGGGTAGCAAGTTCAAAGAAACTAGGAGCTTCAAACCTGAAATTGAATTAATTCATAGCTCAAACTTTTGATTAACATTCAAACAGAAAATTACGAAATAAAAACCTATATAAACTTGAAGGAAAATATACTCTAGAAAATGGAACTTTGATAAACAAAGGATGGAATAAATACTTGAGATCTAAAAGCAAGGTTATGGGGAAAAAAAACAGACCTTAAAATTAAATATTTTAGTCGTGTGTGTCTATGCAATCCCCTGCTTTTCTCCTTCATGTGTCTTTATATGAGTTGATAATTGGAGAAGGCTTCTGGATGTCTTCAACATTGATGTACAACCTGATCATTAAATCAAGAGATTTGATTAGCAAGTAGAAGTTGGAGTTAGAAGGAGGGTTATTTTCTTTAACTTTAATTGGGAACCCAAACTCAGTTTCCAGTGACAAAAGAAAACAACGAGTTTGTAGTTGTGGTATAAATGAAGGGATTGAGATATCACAAATTAAACATACTTACTTTTCATGCCATTTGATAAATTCCGAATCTATCCAGATCTTGGAAATGTGGGAAATCTTGGACCATTCCTCTCCTGCATATTGTTTACCTTCTATATATTTTATGCATCTTTTCTTTAAATTAGGACATTCTCTAATGTATAGACCTTGAAGAGAAGAGAGGTTTCCCAACCAGTCTGGTAAAACTTCCACTTTGTTGAATTTTTCTAGAGCCAATGACTCGAGGGCAGTGAGATGCTGAAGCTGATCTGGCAGAAACTTTATTTTATCCCATCCTATCAATTTTAAATCTTTCAGGGAAGCACGAAGGCAAAGGATGCAATCGAGTCTTGGGAACTCCTCCAAATCTGAGCTGAAAGGACCCATCCTTAACTCAGTAAGGGATTTTAGGGCTCGGAGTGGAAACAGTTGCTTTAGATTTCTGCATTCAAATATGTGAAGTCGTTGAAGAGAAGTAAGTTTTCCCAACCCCTCTGGAAAAGCTTCCACTCCGTTGAAATTTAAAAGAGTCAATTCTTTCAAGGCAGTGAGATGTTGCAGTTGATCTGGCAAAGACTTGACTTTATCCCATCCACGTAATATTAAAGATTCAAGGGAGGAGTTTAGCTGATGGATGTGGGCGAGTCCTGGGAATTCCTCCAATTCATCGCAGAAATAACCCATCTCTAACTTCTTTAAGCCAACGAGGTAGCGTAGGCACTCCCCCGAAATGCTCCTTGTATTAAAGCATTCTTCAATCCTCAAAAACTGAAGAGATGAAAGCCCGTTCATACTTGGGATAGCCATCAGTTTGCAACATCCGCTCATCTCCAAATGAGATAGCTAGAAAATCCACCCATCTGCCAAATTTCCAACCGAGGACAATCGCCAATCATCAAATTCTCAAGGCAAGGAAACACAATCTCAACTTTGCCCCCTGCTGCTAAATCATCGTCTACTTCAATCCATTCCTCTAAGCTTTTCAGGCCGCCTAATTGGAGTTCTCTCAAAGCTGGGAATAGTTTGATTGGTTCTACTCCTCCTGGACCATTACTTTTGGTGGTATCAAACTTATGACCCATTCTTTTTACA